GTCGATAAAATATTCCGAATAAGGGGAAAAATCCCTGAAGAAATGCCCTCTAACTGGCTGTTGTGTATTTATATGTTGTTGTTGTTGTTGCTATTATTATTATTATTATTATTATTATTATTATTATTATTATTCCTACATTTTTTTCGTTTGAAATATTAACATGCCTATTCGGGCATCACTTTTAACGCGAGCTTAAATTAATTCTCAAAGCACACCGTCAATCATTCAAGAAGTTTTAGGCGAGCGTTTTTCCGCCTGAGTTCGAACGGTAATTAAAATCAATAAGACAACTTCAGCAGAAATAGGTAAATTACACTCGCCTAGGCGTATATATAGGCGAATGGCAGTGTTTGAGTATGGGAAAGATATAATCCAACGAAGAATTTGTGTTTAATTTACACCTGTTTTACCCTAGAGCTAACCATTTAATATCACGTGCATGCACCTCTTTATATACGAGGCTGACAAAAGTGTCCTTTCGCTTTAGTCAGTAAAGGATTCGGTTTTAAGTAATAAAGTTAGAAATAGTACTTTGGATCAGATTAAGACAGCTTCCCTATCGTTTTGTTAAAACCTTTCAAAATTTGCTTATTTTTATTTCTTTTATTTAACCACACGTGTGTATATCAGAACAAGCTGACAGAAATATTCTTAGGGTTTTTGGTATCGTGAAGATTTTAAAAGGTTTCCGTTTTAAGTAATAAATTAAAAAAAAAATGATACTTTTAAATGTTAGGTTGGTGCAAAAATAATGACGTTTCAGTCGTGGTACGCTCAGGCCATCTTCATGTCCCAGTGGATAAAAGCGTTGGTTGAAATAATCCAAAAATTGATATGATCCACACAGTTGTAGGTTCAACACCAGGCCAGAGCAAAGGTGAAGCAAAAAACTTGAAGAGGTGAGTTATTAAAGTGAAATAATGGAAACTGATTTATCCAGAAAAGCCATGATACGGGGGAACTATTAGGTTGGTGCAAAATTACTGACGTAATAATGTCGTTTTTTGACGTTCAAAAATACGTCAAAAAACGACAGTATTACGTCATTATTTTTGCACCAACCTAATACAAATACCATATAATTGAACTGATTGAAAGTAACTCCCTACTTTATGTATGATGGACTCTCCCATATTTACATTATTTACATTATTCGGACTGTTATCCACATCTCCATTGCCATATTCATAACGTTTCGGACGTTGTACGCTACGGCCTTCTTCTGGTGATTGGAATGTCGAACCGTACCCCTTATTTCGCCCACCGGGGTAGATTGTTTTATTTCCACGTGCCATGCCTCTCCTGATGTTTCAGTATATTTCCCTTTAACTCAACTCTCAATAAGGTTAAAAAGAAGCTGAAGAAGGCCCGAGCGTACAACGGCCTAAACGTTGTGAATATTGCAATGAAAATAAGGATAGCAGTCAGAATAATGTAAATAATGAAAATAATCGTAATAGCATACCTTAGAAATATAGATGGACTCTCCCGTATTGTAAAAAATATACTTATACGGAAGAGTCCATTATACATAAAATAGGGAGTCAGAAGGAAAAATAGTACTTAGCTTGTGATATCGAAAGCCTTAAAAAACAATATGCTTCATATTATATTTACTAACCCTTTATAGTAGTCACGTGACATGGTTACCATTTGATCCCTGAACTTGTATAAAAAGAGACGAAATCTACCCTTCTTTTTTTTTCATAAAATTCCATTCCATCAGACTGTTATACATCCCGGAAAACTGCAATCTAATTCGCAACTTAAGGTAAGTGCTTTATTTTTTTTTTCCTTGACCTGACCGTTTTCTGTTAGTTTTGGGCGTCGGCAGCATTTTCTCGACACATATTCATCGATACATGGGGTTATACAACAGATGGTACTGTTGCACCTTACCAATCATTTTTATCTGTCTATATTTCTGATATGAGGTATTATGTACACTATTTACATTGTTCGGACTATCATCCTCATCTTTTGTTTCCACAACATTTCAGCTCTGACCTTCTTCAGGTGGTTGGAATGTCGAACTGAACCCTTTGGGTTAGACTGTTCTAGTTCCACGTGCCATATCTAATGGATGTCAGTTATATATCTCCGCTTCAAGTTCTCCACTGTCTTAACCTTAAGGATATATGGCGCAGTGGTAAAGGCGTTAGTTAGCTCTAGTGCCAGGACTAAAAGAGTACGAGTTCAATACGTGGTTAAGGCGGTGGAGAAGTTGATGAGGCTATCTCTCTACGGGACTGACAAAAATGTTGCCTTTCTATTTATTGGTGGATACCTTTAAGCTTCCCTTTTAAATAACGAGATTAAAAATATAGTTTTTTAGTATATCAGTTACGGCATAATATTTCTTAAATCTATCAGAATTAGTTTAATTTTGTTTATTTAAACCCCGTGCATAGGGATGACGGAAATATCCATGTTTGTAGGCAGATTATTTTAGAAAATAAAATATAAAATAATGAAAATTATATATAAAAGAAAACAATAATATTTAAAACTTTTCTCGATGCAGGGAGAACTGATGGTATTATTGTAAGATACGAATTATTTCTAATTCTTTTAAATTTAAAACAGACTTAATCTCATTTATTTAACATGTGTGTGCATGTCTCTATAGGACTCACAAAAAATGTTACCTTTGTATTCATCGGTGGATGCCTTTAAACTTCAGTTTTAAATAACAAGATTAAAAACAGTTTTTTTTTAGTATGCCGGCTTTAGACCTCAGTGTCGCACTTTCCGTCCTCTCTCAGCACATTTCCCAGATATTTAAATTTCTGTACCTGATTGATTTTAGTATCCCCGACCTGCCATTTGCACTTTAGGCTTACCCTTTTTGCTGATGACCATGCATTCTGTCTTGTAGTTTATGCTTAGTCCTTTCTTCTCGCTTTCATTCGCTACTTTCTGTAGTAGGTTTTGTAGTATCCTTCCCATGTTTGCTATCAGTACTTTTTTATCTGTATCTCTTATATTATTATGATTGTGGTCGCCAATATTGAATTTTGGTACCATTTCTAATGCTCTTGTAATTGCCTGACTCGGTGTATAAGTTGACTTAAGTCCGTTTATTCAACAACATGTGCGTACATCTATCTGTCTACGGGACTGACAAAAATGTTACCTTTCTGTTTATCGGTGGATGAGTCTAAACTTCAGTTTTAAATAACAAGATTAAAAAAATAATTTATTATGTCAGCTACTACATAAGATTTCCTAATATTGTACATCACCCTTTGTATAAACCATTATTAATATCGGATTTATATAGAAATTGATAATAACTATCAGATGTTTATGAATCTCTAATTAATACCACCTTTTCTATAAACCTATATTAATACCGGATCTTTTTTTCAGTCAGTTTTCCACACGCTTCGGCGATCATGTGTCGAAAGATACATGACTGACGAGGCAGATTTTTCCCGCAGTAGGTTGCTATTTCTTTCTGCGGTAGACCAATTGCCATCCGGGACTATAGAACCTGGTCTGTCCTGCTATTTATCCATAGCTGGGGGGGGGAGAAGAAGAGGATTCATGTCTTTTCCAAGGTTATTAGCACGTAAGTGAATGTAATGGATTCCTCTGGAATATTATCGATTATTCCACCGTGCCTTTTCTTGGATCTTTTTTAGAAGTTTATAATCATTATCCGATGTTTACAAACTTCTAATATCACCCTTTCTATAAACCATTATTAATATCGGATTTATATAGAAATTGATAATAATTATCAGATTTTTTACCAACCTCTAATTAATACAACATTTTCTATAAACATGTATTAATATTTAGGAGTTTTTAATCATTATCAGGTTTTTAAAACCTTTAATTAATATCACCGTTTTATAAAACTATATGTGTGACAGAACTAGTTTCAACTCGAGGGTAATTTGCAGTTCAACCCAGGGCTCAGTTTCTAATAAAAATGTCATACACGTCACAGTAGGTAAAGTTTAAATTAATTTAGCACCCCAATTGTATTAATCCCGGATTTTCATAAAAGTTTTTAATCATTATCAGGTTTTTAAAACCTTTAATTAATATCACCGTTTTATAAAACTATATGTGTGACAGAACTAGTTTCAACTCGAGGGTAATTTGCAGTTCAACCCAGGGCTCAGTTTCTAATAAAAATGTCATACACGTCACAGTAGGTAAAGTTTAAATTAATTTAGCACCCCAACTGTATTAATCCCGGATTTTCATAAAAGTTTTTAATCATTATCAGGTTTTTAAAACCTTTAATTAATATCACCGTTTTATAAAACTATATGTGTGACAGAACTAGTTTCAACTCGAGGGTAATTTGCAGTTCAACCCAGGGCTCAGTTTCTAATAAAAATGTCATACACGTCACAGTAGGTAAAGTTTAAATTAATTTAGCACCCCAACTGTATTAATCCCGGATTTTCATAAAAGTTTTTAATCATTATCAGTTATTTACAAACCACTAATTAACATCACATTTTCATAAACCTATATTAATACCAGATTTTTATAGACGTTAGTAATCATTATTAGATGTTTAGAAACCTTTAATTAATATAAGTTTTTCTAAAACCCTGTATTAACTGAAGACTATTATAGGACTTTAAAATCATTATCGGGTTTTTACAAAACTGTAATTAATATCAACTTTTTATAAATCTATATTTATACAAGATGTTTTACAATACTATACACTTTTTTATTTTTATAATTAATTCACAATTTTATGTTGGTAATTAATGGGTTAAATTTATTTTTTCTGTAGCTTCATTGTTACGTTTCCGTAATTTCTATTTTGGAAGCACTCAAGCAATTGAAAATTAAGAAATCTTAATGTTTTCTTTTAATTTCCTTTCCGTTCTACATTGATTATTTTGAAAGAGGAGACGGCTGTGAACAACTGGACAGCGGACAGTGTTTGGGTTTTATAGCACGATAAGAATTTATTACAAGTGGTTGAATAACATTGTAATTCGCTTTCTTAAAGTAGGTGCTTATGACCATATCACGTTGGAATACCACTTCTCATACGATCACCGAAGTTAAACAACGTCGAGCCAACTCAGTACCTTGATCGGTGACCGCTTAGGAATACTTAGGTATTACTTAAGACAAGCTGTGCGGGTGGTGTAATATAAACGGCTACACATTGAAAGTCGTAGTACCGAGTTTCAGTTCCACCCGAGTCCCTCGTATTCACTTACACGCTAATTTCTTTTGGAAAGGTATGAATCTACATAGTCTCCCCCCCTATATGGGTTAATTTGCATCAATTATGCCAAGAAATTATTACTATTCCAAAATATCCTTACAATATATTTTCTGTGATTAATAGATATGATTGCTTTGTTTTCTACTGCTTATCAACACGTTGCAAGTTTTTAAAGCCCGGAAATATTTTTTTAGATTGTAAAATTATAAGTCTTACTATTTAGCCTATTTTTGTGGGGAGAAGGAGTGGATTCATACCTTTTCCCAAGAATATTAGCGCGTAAATAAATATAACGAACCCAACTAGAATTGAAACTCGGCTATCTGATTAAAAGTTCCCAGTCATTATCCATTACAGAACCCACAAATTCAAGCTTACAGCTATGATATTTTCAAGCAAACATCCATCTTTTCTTTATTAGATAATAAGGTTATGGTGATACAAGTCTTACTAATTAACCCATTGTTAGGGAGGGTGAAATCGTGGATTCATACTCACTAGAACACGGTTCTCTGATTAACAATTCCGGACCATTATCCATTATACCATCCACGCATTCAAGCTTACAGCTCCCGGTATCCCCAAGCAGTCACTCATCTAGGTACTGACCACGATCGACGTTGCTTAACTTTGGGAATCCGGTGTTTCAATGGGTCTGTAATCTTTTTGGCATGAAATAACTTTCAAAAGGTTAAAATAAAATAAATAAAGTAAAAAAAAAAAATCAATCTTAAAATAGGGCTTGTCTTCAAATAATATTTCGACATAAAATTACAAAAAAAAAAGATGCAACGTTTACCTGGCAATGGCGGAAACAACATGCCATACGTTTTATTGCATCTAAATTAATATTACATGTATCAGCAGCAATGAAGTGCCTATTGCTGTAATATAAAGATAAATAGCATTAATTAACCTACAGAGGTTGATATGGCGGTAAACAAATCATTCAACCAACTTAAGAATAAAAACGGTTTTTCTTCCGATTGCTGGGGAGGTAATGGAAACATACGTTTCCCGAGGTTACTTGCGCTTAAGCGAATATAACGAGACCGAATTGAATTCGAACTCCCCTCTTCGATTTTTTTTCTCACTGAATTGCTAGCCATTATACCAGCTGCACATGTCAGAGTGTAAAAAATAAATACATTGATATTTCTCAAAAAAATTATAGGTCGAGAGCGTTTTTTAAATGTCCGCTTGTCACTTTCGTGTACCAAAAAGAAAGTTCCTTTTTATTCTTATTCTTCTTAAACATTACTTGTTGCTCACTTAATCTCTCTATGGTATGCTAAGCATCTTTCTTTAGAACTACATCCCGATTGTCTCAGTTTCTGTAATATAACTGCTTTTTAATACTTTGTTTAGCTTTGGTAAGGCATCTTTTGCTATTGTAATAAAGTTTTCGGTTTTCAGCTTCACATTTTGGTATTATTACGATTTCCAAAATTCTGTATCTGCCTGATTCTGACGTTTCCAATTCTGAGCACGCGTTTTGGTTTCTCCTCTGACTGATGAGGTTAAATTCTATCGTCTGAAAGTTGATGCCTTCTTCTTTTTCTTTATTCTCGCTTGTCTGAGAGTTCCTACAATTTCCTTCTTGCGACTTTCACGCCAAACATAATGTTGGTCATATGCAAAAAAAAAAAAAAAAACAAAACAAAGAAATATTTTGAGAAAAAGCCAATTAACTCCTAAGAACGTTGAACAGTATTTGAAGGGACGTAAGAATTTAGAAAACCTGAATAAAGTTATTAAGCTATGCATTTTACTATGAGTCACTAAGGGAGAAAATTCTTCATTGCTTTTTGGATATTTTTTTAATCAATCACTCCAAGCAAGGCGATAATGTTACTACGACGCAAGGGCTTACTGGGAGTGAAAGAGAATGAGAAAACTTTAGAAGGAACCGGAAACTCGATCCTAAACAGGAAGCGAATGACAAACTTCAATTCCTTTTCAAAAGACCGGGATGATGTTTGAATTGGTCGATAGGTGATCATTTTTTTTTTTTTTAATGAATAATGGACTTTAGATTTTATAGTGATTTTTTTTAAGCGTCTTACCCCAAGCAAGGCGAGAACCTACTAGGACGCAAGGGGTTACAGAAGATCACATAAGAGTGATAGAGGAAAGGATTAGGAGAAGGATATTGGATAGATCAAGGCAACTGGAGATGTCGATTGACATTACATTTGAATAGTTGGAGATTATAGCTCCCAGGGAAACTGGAATAGGGAAGGGAGTTCCACAGGCGAGAGGTGCGAGACATGAGGCTATTGGAGTAGAAGAGACGGCTCCATTTAGGAGTTTCGACAGTGAAAGGGTGAGAGCGGGATGCTAGCCTCGTAGGGCGCTTGAACTCATGAAGTCTCGGAACCAGCGAATGCAGATCCTCGGAGCAATTGCCATGAAAGTATTTGTAAAAAAGACAGAGAGAGGCGACGGCGCGTCTGTGAGAGAGTGACTGTAGACGAGATGCCAGAACAGGGCCAATTATATTGCATATCCGCCTCTGGAGCCTATCAAGAACCCCGAGGCAAACAGAAGCGGCTCCAGACCATATATGGCAGCAATACTCCATGCAAGGGGGAATTGTTGATTTGTAGATCTGGAGGATCGATTCCGGGGAGAAAATTTTCCTGGCGCGGCATAGGGAGCCAACTTTCGTTGCAGTGGACGAAGCAATTGACTCAATGTATTTGTTCCATCTCAGGTCAGAAATCAACGTGAGAACGTGAAACCGCACGGAGGTGCTCTCGAGAAGTTGAGCGTCAGGCATTCTAATGGAGGGCAGCGAAGGATCTCTGTGGGTGGCTAAAGATATGAAATATAAGTGTAAATGTGTTATTTGGGTGAATGATAATTATCCAGTGTGATCTTGGTTAAAGGAGAAAACAGTGAAGGCCAGCCTTCCTTTTATCCGCACAATATTGGCCTTGTGCCACATTTTATGTATTCTTCAGAAATTAAAAAAAATCCTCTTTAACATTTTACTCAGAGAATATCTTAGAAGTGGTACTAGAAAGAGATGGAAAATAATAATGATAAAACTGACAGAAACACAAAAATGTCGACAAAGAATTAAACTTAAAAAACTGAAGAAAAATAATTTCAGAAAACAAAAATTGATTTCATTGCTGCGAAATAAGGACAGAATGAAAATCTCAGAAATGAAACGCTTGTACTATATGGGGTAGGGTAGAGTAGTAGTAAAATCGGAGTGAGGCGGGTACATTCTAGCGACATTACTTAACTGCATTGGTTCACCCGCCTCATCCAGCCCTCACGCACGGCTCGTTAAAGTCGTTCGACACGACAGCGGCCAAACTCCGGGAAGCCAAACCGGGGTTCCCCTGCAGGTAAAGAGCAATCATATTCGCTGAGCATGCAACAGTGCAAGCCCTTCCATATCGGCGGGCCAATCCGTTCAGTTGAATCTTTCTATCGTTACGATATCCCCATAAATTTTGACAGTACTGTCCTTCAACGGATTAAACCCTGGTTTCATACAAGTGAAAACGACTCATAGGCAACGGTCTAATCTTTACGACATGGCATATATATATATATATATATATATATATATATATATATATATATATATATATATATATATATATATATATATATATATAAAAAACTAAAACGCAGTCAATTATGATTTAATGGAATATATGAAAAGCTGATAAAAGATTAACTTGATACATTTTATATTTACAGTATGATTATTCGCCTATATGCTTATTTATTGTTGAATGGATAAGTTGGAAAAATCATGTAAAGAAACCAAAGATTAATTTTTAACTGTTAAAGTCTTCCATAAAATTTCGATATACGTGTTGAGTCGGGTATTCTGTGCACATAATTTTGTCTCAGGCTGACAAGTCTCTGGTGTTTAACGTAGAGAATTGTTCGTCTGTTGAAGGTGAATGTTACATGGCAGTAAGGCAAAGCAAATGAAACAGTATATAGTTATGGTTGAAAAGAAGCTGCTGTTTAAAAAGAATGATAATTAAAAGGAGAAGAAGAAGAAGAGTGTTGGAGGAAAAAGACGTAGACAGGTAAATTGGAAGGACTTAGAAGAACAGTAAAAAATCGAAATATACGAAGGAGATTAGGAAAGAGAAATAAAGGGAATAAGAAAGGAGGAAGAGGAGGAGGAGACAATGGGCGAAAGCGTGATAGAAAAAAGAAAAAAAAGAAAGATTGAACATCATAGAAGGAGATGAATAGGAGAGAAAAAAAAGGACAATAGTTTCAGAAAGAAAGAAGGAAAGAATGAATGGTGAAAAGAAATAAAAAAGAGAAGACAGGAATGTAAGAAAGAAATAAAGAAAAAATAAGTAATTAAATAAAGATGGAAAGAGTGAAGGTAGGTAAGAAATAAGTAATAAAATAATGGCAAAAGAAAAAAAAAAGGAAAGATGGAAGGGAAGAAAAATATAAAAAATGAAAGAAAGAATTAAAGGAATAAAGAAAAATGAATGAAAAAAAATGAAAGAAATAACTACGAAATCAATCAAAGAAAGAAAAAAATGAAAGGAAGAATTAAAGAAAGAAATAAAATGAATGAAATAAATAAATGCGAAATCAATCAAAGAAAGAAAAAAATTAAAGAAAAATTAAAGAAAGAAATAAAAAGAATAAAAAAATTAAAGAAAGAAATACGAAATCAATCAAAGAAAGAAAAAAGAAAGAATTAAAGAAATAAATAAAAAAGAAGGAAAGAATGAAAGAAAGAAATACGAAATCAATCAAAGAAAGAAGAAATGAAAGAAAGAATTAAAGGAAGAAATAAAAAGAATGAAAGAACGAAATGCGAAATCAAACAAAGAAAAAAACATGAAAGAAAGAATCAAAGAAATAAATAAAAAAATGAAAGAAATAAATGCGAAATCAATCAAAGAAAGAAAAAAAATGAAAGAAAGATTCGATTTATTGGTCCGTTTTTTATGTCTTATCTAGCATTTGCAGGTTATTTAAAAGTGGATTTTTTTTCTAGATATTAATATTTTAATGATACAAATATTACTCTTTACCCCAAGCTCGGGGAGAACAGGTGGATTCATAACTTTCCCAATGTGATTTGCGCGTAAGTGAATATAATATAAGCAACGGGAATTGTAACCAGGCTCCCTGATTAACAGTTCCGAGCCGTTATCCATTAAACCACCCGCACATCCAGGTTTACAGCACCTGATATCCCCAAGCAGTCTCACAACGAGATAATGACCAGTCTTGACGCTACTTGACTTTGTTGATCGTAGGATGTGGACGCAAGCCTCAAGGAAGGAAGGAAGGAAGGAAGAAAGGAAGGAAGGAGTAAAAGAAATAATGAAAGAATGAAAAAAAAGAGCAAAGAATGAAAAGAGAATGAAAATAGAAAATAAAGAAGGAAAAAAGGAAACATGTAGGAAATAATAAATAAAAAACATGTAGGAAATAATAAAGAAAGAAGGGAGGGGTGATCGAACAATGGAAATAATTAAACATGAAAGAAGGAAGGTGAGAAGTAAGTCAATATATAATTAAGAAAGAATGAATGATAGAAAAAAAGAAAAAAAATGATACCTGTAAGACGGGAGAAAGGTAAGAAGTAAATAAATAAAAAAAAAAGAAAGAGAGAATGAAACAATGATCGAAAAAAGGAAAGAATGAAACCCAAAAAGGGGGGTGGAGGAAGGCAAGAAGTAAATAAATAAATAAAGAAAGAAAGAATGATCGAAGTAGGGAAAGATTGAAATATGAAAGATGGAAGGAATGTAAGAAGTAAAGAAAGAAAGAAAAAAAGAATGAATGATCGTAGAAAGGAAAGAATGAAACATAAAAGAAGGAAGGAATGTAAGAAGTAAATAAATGAAGAAAGAAATAAAAAAGGAAAGAATGATCGAAGAAAGGAAAGAATAAAACATGAAATAAGGAAGGAATGTAAGAAGTAAAATAATTAAATAAATGAAGACAGAAAGAAAGAAAAAAGAAAGAATGAGCGAAGAAAGGAAAGAATGAAACATGAAAGAGGGAAAGAATGTAAAAAGTAAATAAATAAGAAAAGAAAGAAAGAAAAAGAACGAAATAATGATCGAAGAAAGGAAAGAATGAAACATAAAAGAAGGAAGGAAGAAAAAAGAAAGAATGATCGAAGAAAGGAAAGAATGAAACATAAAAGAAGGAAGGACTGTAAGAAGTAAAGAAATAAAGAAAGAAAGAAAAAAGGAAAGAATGATCGAAGAAAGGAAAGAATAAAACATGAATTAAGGAAGGAATATAAGAAGTAAATAAATGAAGAAAGAAAGAAAAAAGAAAGAATGATCGAAGAAAGGAAAGAATGAAACATAAAAGAAGGAAGAAATTAAGAAGTAAAGAAAGAAAGAAAGAAAGAAAGAATGATCGAAGAAAGGAAAGAATAAAACATGAAAGAAAGAAGGAATTAAGAAATAAAGAAAGAAACAAAGAAGTAAAGAAAGAAAGAAAGAAAGAAAAAAGGAAAGAATGATCGTAGAAAGGAAAGAAGGAAACATGAAAGAAAGAAGGAATGTAAGAGTAAAGCAACAAAGAAATAAAGAAAGAAAAATAATGATCGAAGAAAGGAAAGAATGAAACATAAAAGAAGGAAGGAATATAAGAAAGAAAGAAAGAAAGAAAGAAAGAAAAAAGAAAGAATGATCGAAGAAAGGAAAGAATGAATCATAAAAGAAGGAAGGAATGTAAGAAAGAAAGAAAGAAAGAAAGAAAGAAAGAAAGAAAGAAAGAAAGAAAAAAAAAAAGAATAATCGAAGAAAGGAAAGAATGAATCATAAACGAAGGAAGGAATGTAAGAAAGAAAGAAAGAAAGAAAAAGAAAGAAAGAATGGTCGAAGAATGGAAAGATTGAAACATGAAAGAAGGAAGGCATGTAAGAAGTAAATAAATGAAGAAAGAAAGGAAAAAGAAGAATGATCGAAGAAAGGAAAGAATGAAACATAAAAGAAGGAAGGGATGTAAGAAGTAAATAAATGAAGAAAGAAAGAAAAAAGAAAGAATGATCGAAGAAAGGAAAGAATGAAACATAAAAGAAGGAAGGGATGTAAGAAGTAAATAAATGAAGAAAAAAGAAAAAAAAAAAAAGAATGATCGAAGAAAGGAAAGAATGAAACATAAAAGAAGGAAGAAATTAAGAAGTAAAGAAAGAAAGAAAGAAAGAAAGAAAGAAAAAAGGATAGAATGATCGTAGAAAAGGAAAGAATGAAACATGAAAGAAAGAAGGAATTAAGAAATAAAGAAAGAAAGAGAGAAGTAAAGAAAGAAAGAAAGAAAGAAAAAAAGAAAGAATGATCGTAGAAAGGAAAGAAGGAAACATGAAAGAAAGAAGGAATGTAAGAGTAAAGCAACAAAGAAATAAAGAAAGAAAAAGAACAAAATAATGATCGAAGAAAGGCAAGAATGAATCATAAAAGAAGGAAGGAATGTAAGAAAGAAAGAAAGAAAGAAAGAAAGAAAAAAGAAAGAATGATCGAAGAAAAAGGAAAGAATGAAACATAAAAGAAGGAAGGGATGTAAGAAAGAAAGAAAGAAAGAAAGAAAGAAAAGAAGAAAGAAAGAAAGAAAGAAAAAAAGAAAAAATGATCGAAGAAAAAGAAAGAATGATCGAAGAATGGAGGAATGAAAGAATCAAAAAAGAAAGAAAGAAAGTAAGAAAGAAAGAAAGAAAAAAAAAGAAAGAAAAGAAATAAAGAAATGAAAAGAAAAAAAGAAAGAATGAAAGAAAAAGAAAGAAAAGAATGACTCAAGAATGAAGGAAGGAAAACATGTAAGAAAAAGAAAGAAATAAAAAAAAGAAAAGAAAAAGAAAGAAAGAATGGTCGAAGAATGGAAATATTGAAACATGAAAGAAGGAAGGGATGTAAGAAGTAAATAAATGAAGAAAGAAAGAAAAAAGAAAGAATGATCGTAGAAAGGAAAGAATGAATCATAAAAGAAGGTAGGAATGTAAGAAAGAAAGAAAGAAAGAAAGAAAGAAAGAAAGAAAGAAAGAAAGAAAGAATGATCGAAGAATGGAAAGAATGAATCATAAAAGAAGGAAGGAATGTAAGAAAGAAAGAAAGAAAGAAAGAAAAAAAGAAAGAATGATCGAAGAAAGGAAAGAATGAATCATAACAGAAGGAAGGAATGTAAGAAGTAAATAAATGAAGAAAGAAAGAAAAAAGAAAGAATGATCGAAGAAAGGAAAGAATGAAACATAAAAGAAGGAAGAAATTAAGAAGTAAAGAAATAAAGAAAGAAAGAAAGAAAGAAAAAAGGATAGAATGATCGTAGAAAGGAAAGAATGAAACATGAAAGAAAGAAGGAATTAAGAAATAAAGAAAGAAAGAGAGAAGTAAAGAAAGAAAGAAAGAAAGAAAAAAAAGAAAGAATGATCGTAGAAAGGAAAGAAGGAAACATGAAAGAAAGAAGGAATGTAAGAGTAAAGCAACAAAGAAATAAAGAAAGAAAAAGAACAAAATAATGATCGAAGAAAGGCAAGAATGAATCATAAAAAAGGAAGGAATGTAAGAAAGAAAGGAAGAAAGAAAGAAAAAAGAAAGAATGATCGAAGAAAGGAAAGAATGAAACATAAAAGAAGGAAGGGATGTAAGAAAGAAAGAAAGAAAGAAAGAAAGAAAGAAAGAAAGAAAGAAAGAAAGAAAGAAAGAAAGAAAAAAGAAAGAATGATCGAAGAATGGAAAGAATGAATCATAAAAGAAGGAAGGAATGTAAGAAAGAAAGAAAGAAAGAAAGAAAGAAAGAAAGAAAAAAAGAAAGAATGATCGAAGAAAGGAAAGAATGAATCATAATGAAGGAAGGAATGTAAGAAAGAAAGAAAGAAAGAAAAAGAACGAAAGAATGGTCGAAGAATGGAAATATTGAAACATGAAAGAAGGAAGGGATGTAAGAAGTAAATAAATGAAGAAAGAAAGGAAAAAGAAAGAATGATCGAAGAAAGGAAAGAATGAAACATAAAAGAAGAATCATAAATAAATGAAGGAAGGAAAAAAGAAAAATGATCGTGAAAGAAAAGAATGAATCATAAAGAAAGAAAGAAAGAAAGAAAAAGAAAGAAAAGAAAGAAAGAAAAGAATGATCGAAGAATGGAAAGAATGAATCATAAAAAGAAGGAAGGAATGTAAGAAAGAAAGAAAGAAAGAAAGAAAAAAAAAAAAAAAAAAGAATGATCGAAGAAAGGAAAGAATGAATCATAACAGAAGGAAGGAATGTAAGAAAGAAAGAAAGAAAGAAAGAAAGAAAGAAAGAAAAAAAGAAAGAATGATCGAAGAAAGGAAAGAATGAATCATAAAAGAAGGAAGGAATGTAAGAAAGAAAGAAAGAAAGAAAGAAAGAAAGAAAGAAAAAGAAAGAAAGAATGGTCGAAGAATGGAAAGATTGAAACATGAAAGAAGGAAGGGATGTAAGAAGTAAATAAATAAATAATAAATAAAGAAAGAAAGAAAGAAAGAAAAGAAAGAATGAAACATGTAGGAAGTAAGGAAAATGTATATATATATATATATATATATATATATATATATATATATATATATATAAAAACGAAAAAAAAAAAAAGAAAGAGGACGAAATGAGATGTGTCCTGGACATGAAAAGAGAAAAAGAATGACAAATAAGAAAATGGGCGAAAACCAAAACAAAAAGAAAGAAAAAAAGAAAGATAGGGTAATTATGTAGAAAATGATATTTAAGGAATTTAAGGAGATAAGGAAATAAAAGAATGCAAAAGCGATAGGCTGAGTGAAGGTAAAAAAAAGAAAAAGAAAGAATTAACGAAAGAACACCTGGAAAAAAATAAAAAGGTAGAAAATTATATAAAGAAGGGAAAAAAGAAAGAATTTGAAAGACAATACTGCAAGATAGACAATAATACCATCTTACCATCGCGGCCCTCAGCTATAAACTAGGGTGATTCTTATTTATACAAAGGTGTGTACTCTAAACACTTCTCATCGTAGCAGGGGAAATCGAACAAAGATGTAATTTATCTTAGCCTGACACACATATCTAGGAGATAAGTCGATGAATGAAGACTTTTTTTCTAATTTTCTCACTCTCCAGCGACTTACGATAACTTTCTTTTCGTTAGAAGTCAGAATAAAACGCAAATGAATTAGAAATAGGTTTTAATACATATTTAAACTTGATGGCAAAAATTGGAGTAGACATATATACATACACAGAATGAAATGCAAACACATGAACGCACGCTAACTTCAGATAAACGTTCATTCAAAAAGCGAACAAAAAAAAATCAAGAAGTTTTAGAGAACAATGAATTTATTTATTTCAGTTAATTTTTTACTAATTTTATTTTGGTTCTTTGCAATCCTCTTGAATGGAAATTGATTGGACGCCGACTCAATTCTGTGGCCACGAGGTGATTATAATAATATCAGACCGGCAAAGAAATAATTTGCCAGACACCTGCAGGGAATAAATTATATATATATATATATATATATATATATATATATATATATATAAAATTAAAGTATTTTCTTCATTTCTTCCGGAGTTTTATTTTTGCATCGTCGACATATATCCCCGTCTGTTAATAATGCTACCATCGATCCACACACGAACGTACACACACCCATATTAATATATACACTTATAGCAATAATTATAATTTTAAAACATATATATTAAAATATATATATATATATATATATATATATATATATATATATATGTGTGTGTGTGTGTGTGTGTGTGTGTGTGTGTGTATGTGTTTTGTATATTTTTGTGATTAGATATTGTAACTATTTACACTCTTTTCATTGTTCGAAATGTAATACTTAATTCTCATATTCACGACAAAATAAAGGCTTCAGTTACCAATTCCAAAGTATATTATCTGAAGGAGGCCGGCGCATACAGCTGCTGAAACGTTGGAAAATGACAATAAAAATGAGATCAAGGAGACCGAACAATGTAAATATTTTGTGTGTGTATATATATATAAATACATTTTTATGTTTATACATTCTTTTTATAGATACAAATATTTAAGTAAATGCTTTGTTTTTATAATAAACGGTATTAAACAACATTTACCGGACGAAATGTCCGAGAAAGTGTCATAGAAAATTTTCGTTATCCGACAGGAATCGAACCTGTATCCTATAGGAAACCGTCATATAGCTTGACGTGCCTTTAACCTTTTCGGCCATAGAGGAGGGTTCGGTTAGCAAAGTCGATTTTACTGTCTTTAATCTTCCATGAATCTCTCACGTATATTTATATCTGCTCATGGCGTATCAAATATAAACAAATGATGTCACACATTATGAAATGGACAAAGTCCGACAATTATATTAAGACATTTTTATGTTTATACATTCTTTTCATAGATACAAATATGGACAATGTTGTTTAATACTGTTTATTATAAACAGAGCATTTACTTAAACATTTGTATCTATAAAAAGAATATATAAACATAAAAAATGTCTTAAAATAATTGTAGGACTTTGTCCATTTCTATATATATATATATATATATATATATATATATATATATATATATATGCAATATTCATACGGGAAAAAAAACACCATACTAGATTTAGGGGATTTATAGAGATAATTAGTGTAGACACAGGAATTAACACTGTATGGTGACTTAATTTCACTCTTCAATTCTTTGTTCAAAGTACCTGTTGATTTCTATATCGATCATGTTTACATCTATCTATCTGTCTGTCTCCGAAATGTTCGCGGATTATTTCACTAAAACTAATCTGAAGAAAATTGCTTTTTGTGACATTGAAATGAAGCCGAAAATATCGGAAAACAATCGATCACTCATGTCAAATAGCATCCACGCTGATCATTATTTTAATGGGGGTGGGTGCTTGTGTATATTGGCTATTTTAAGCCTGTTAGGTGTCATATGTAAAGAATTACTATACAATATGGCTGACGCGTTTACCTCAATGTCACTTCTCTTTCTTAGACCAAGGATTGTTAAAATTAAAACACATCGCGCATATGAAATATAGACTGCTTGTAAGTATACCTTTACAAGAGATAAATACATGCCGAAATTGCAGTAGTGTTTCCATATATGGGCAGGATAGTGGATGGTCAAAAAGCGTCTCCGCGTCCTTGTGGATAATGGGTCATTGTTCAACTCTGTAAGCTCTTTTGCAGAGGCGAAACGTCACAAGCCGCTCGCTGCTCTATCGTTATTAACATGGAAAATGTTCAGAACGAACTACATTCCTTTGATCCACCAGTTATAAACTCCACATCTAAAATCTACCATTCCACTCACATTATAGCGAAGCTTCATCGTTCTCCTCCATTGCTGAAATGTAAATTCCACTGGAACAGCTTCTTCCCACGAACCGTTGTTTTGTGGAACCGACTTCCCAGAGGATGCTTCTCAGATCACTACTGTCTTCACCCGTTCAAGTCTAGGGTCACCAGTTATCTTGCCCTTTTTTTTCTCTAAACCTCTAATACGAATGTCTCTTGGAGCTTGTACAGCGCTGCCATCCAGTAATTAATCAAATATTTGACGTATGGCATCCTTTCTCACTCTGAGAGGTGCATCATTTTGATTTATGTCAGATGTCAGTGCAGTTCAAATCTAGATATCGAATTCCTGGCTGAATTTTCTGGGGTGATGTGTTGTCATTACTTACATTATTTGCCGTCTCAGACTACAGGATGCAGAATTTGTTTCTGGAATTTATTGTTAACTGTGTGTTCATTTCCTGGGTCGTGTGCCAGTGACCCAGAAAACGGAAACAGGACTATGTAAAACTGAGCAATACGTTAAAAGAACAATACAGATTAATGCTAAACCTGGACAACGGAACAAGAAAAATCTTCTGAAGATAATTATATACAGTTTTCGGTTTGAAAGGTTATGCTTATTGACAGACAATAGAAGGCTGGAAAGAAAGAAAACATCATAGAGGTTTTTTAAATTAACAGCAAAGATGAGGATATTAGTCAAATTGTATATAACGTAACTATATTACAACTATGGATATATACTATTCAGGATTTCCTACTTTGAAGCCTGTTGAAACATAATCTTCTTTTATTTGATATGTTATTGTTATGCTTCATGTTCCCTGTACCACGGTGATGGTCCAAGGTTAGAACCAATGAAAGAATAACACGAACACAGGTATGGAATACAAAGATATATTACAACAGAAATATAATACAAAGAAGTAGAAGTATTAGTATTGACTATCAGATTTGGTTAGAGTGAACTATGTTGTCTCGACAAGTATCACTATTCCAATGTCCTTACAATATGCTCTCAATTATCTTGTGGAATCTTCCACAACAAACCAGCCTTATCTCTTTTTAGGAAATGCACTCTTCCTGTCTGTTAAGTAACATTCTACTTTCATACATAATATTTAAAACATCAAGGAAAAAACAATGAGAACCAATTTTGTTTAACGAAGAAATATATGTATATTAAATTCAACAATAATACAAAGTAGTTGGAATATGAGTGAAAAAAGTAGCTTCCCCTTGACTGTAAGAAATGTCTTAAAGAAGATTTGTCTGAGTAAAATGTTCAGAGTTCAGCCTTGAAAATAGAATATTTCTTTCAGAAAATTGTTCGGTTGTTGCAACTTACAGAGTTGATTTATCTTGGTGTGTCCACTGAGAACTGGTAGTGTATTAAACAAGGTTCTGTATTGTATGTACGTACGTGCGGAGTGAGTAGGATGAAATACACGTGAGTGAGTGAGATCTATTGACTCCGGGTACACTCGACTGTGGTTCTGGAACTACTACTAACTGGTTTTTTGGAATGCGTCCAATATTTATACCACCTAGGGTGGCTCCCAGCAGAGACGATGGAGTACATTTTTGAATATATATGAAAAATATCCGATTGGACGGAAAATGGACCAATCAGCGATTTTATAGCAAAGCTTGTTTTTGAACAAAGTGTAGGAACAAATCTACTATGGTGGAATGCGATAGATAAATTGTCTTGTTGTTTTTTAGTATGTATTTATTGACCAATTAGAATTGGAGAAAATGTAGGCGTGGCACTACAATCTCTCCTCGTCTTACAACATCCTCATACCTCTTGAGAGGCGCAGTATTCATAATGTCAGGAAAAGTCCATTATTATTATAGGTAAGTTCTCATAACAGTTATCGACTTTCGTAAGCTTAGTATAGAGTGTATGTCCAATAAGAGAAAACGAAGATTAAGACAAAACTATAGAGATTCGATCTTGTTTAGAATACTATAGGTTCAATCTTGATGGAAAGTCTATAAATATTCTTTAACGATTATCCTAATTATTAAATATGCTTCATTTTATCAATTTTCTTTACTATGGAAATTTACCATAGTGACGGATAAATTTAATATTTCCGCTACTCGAAATA